TCTCCACACTCTCTTGATCCCTCACAATGTTGACTTTGCCCTTTTTGGCAACTCTTCTGCTCTTTGGTGCTTCTCCTCTAAACCTCTCACTCCACTCCTGGCTTCTCCTCAGACTTGTCCTCAGCTTTGGCTTTTCTCAGACACCACCTTATGTCCACTTAGTTGAACTTCAGAAGGTCAAAACTTAGCCTCTTACTGATCTTTCCCATGCTTTCTCCATCTCTTTTTCTTATGGCCCTATGGACAACATCCACCTCAGTGTTCACACTTATAGAGCTGGGTCCTGTTACTCTTGATCCCTTTACCCAAGCCACAAGAAAACGATCCCCTGTTCCGGGCTGCCTTCCTACTCCCAATACAACATCCTTTTCTCTCTCAATAGCAAAAGCATCCCTCATTTTGATGCTTAACAGCATCAGAATATAACAGGTGATCAGTTTGGCAATACTTTTTTTTACCAAACAAATATGGATTTTTTTTTCCATCTACAGTTTGCCCTTTGTCCACCCGCCTCAAACCAAAGGCAATTTTTTCCCTGGGGTTTAGGACTGGCTTGTTGTTTTCTTTTTCTCCTTTCTCCCAAAACCAGCACTAAGAACCTTGAATTAAAATACATAGGCATAAATTTATAACCACTACTGCCTACTTTGAGGCAGCTAAGGATGCCTCCACATGGTTATGGTCCCTCTCAAGAATGCCAGCATACACACAGCCCCACAGAAAGCAGGTAATAGGGGTGGTATGTCCATGCTTTCACTGATCTTCAACTGTTCTACACCCCTAACTGCTCCAGAAACAGTAATTTCATATTTTATAATAAGAACCTAGAGTGGAAGGTATTTTTGGATATATTAACGTACTCAATTTCATTTGAGTTACTCTGTATACTGGGATCAAGCAGGCACTCCTACCTGCAAGCTCCCAGTGAATACACGTGAGCTTTGTCTCCAGACATTGGACACCCACCGTTCAGTGGGGCTGTCAAACACGGCAGAAGAGAAAGGAGACAGCACAAGGGGAGAGGACTCTGCAGTTCAGTGCTCGGCACGGAACTGCTGGCTCAAAAACACTGCCTTGCAGGGGGAGCACCAAATCTGACCTGACAGAAAATGCAACCTTTGCTACTTCTAGCCCAACACATTTTATGTGGCAAGAACACAATAAAAAAGGTACCTTTTGCTTTGTTCCATGTCTTCTCAAGACAGGTTGATTTTTTCAAGAAGAAATCCCCAAATGTGTCAATGAATTCTAGCACTCATCTTGGAGCTGCTGAGATATGTTCCCTGTAGCCCAGTAAGGAGGGAGAACAAAACCAAACACTGGCCTGGACATGAATCCCTTGAGCAGGAAAACAAGCAAACAGGGGGATGCACTCCCACTAGAGTGAAAATTGTATAAAATGGCTCAAAATGCCACATAGACTCTGATGTGTTGCACGTGCACTCCATGACATGCAGCAAACCAAGGTACTAGAAGGCAACAACACGTTTACAGGGATTACCATGAAATTTGCATGCTGTTAACGCCTGGAACCTTTTCACTGAGAAATTTTTATCTGACAGTCAGTTAATAGCAGAGAACTTTTTTTTGCACCAACAAGAAGATGTAATTTTCCAAAGGATAATTTTCTTAAGTAGTTGTTTTCATGTATGTAGAATCTTCCACAGGATAGGGGCAGCAATTTACACTAAGGCTTTTCACTAAGGCCTTTAAGTGGTTTTGAAATGCAAAACTAAAAAATTTTTTGGCTTTCTAATTTGCTTTTCTGTTTTGCAGTATGTACTGATTTATTCATAGCATTTCTGAGAGAAGGAATGTCAGGAATGCAAACAGCATGATGACAATGTAGTAGCTGATTAGCTCCGTGGAAGAAGTCGCTCCAGGTTTGACTTTTGGTCAGTGTACAACATTGAAGATACATAAATACTCTGGCAAGGAAAGTCTTTCTTTCACTTTAGGTATAATTAAAAAAAAATCTTTTACACTTCAGCTATAATAAACCGCACAAAAAACAGCGAGAGGGAGAGAGAAAGTGAGAGAGAGATGGCAGATACACCGAGAATCTGCAGCGTAGATAATCAAACCCTTTATTGTCTAAGTTACATTAGACTTGCAACACCATAAAAACCTGTTAAGAAGGAGAAACAGTAGATTGGTAGAGGTAGTAGAAAGTCCCTGTAACAGTCAAAAATGGGCTTTACAGGAGCATGTCATGCCAAAAAAAAAAGCTATCACGTTGCTTAAAAGAGCCGATCAAAGCCCATTGACTAAATAAATAAGGAACACAACTTATTTTAAATACTATGGCCTAACTAAAGTAACAGATCAATACAATACAATGATAAAGAAGAAAAAAGAAATTGTGGGATTCTCTTCTGGAAACAGATGGTCTTTAAGGTTGGCCTTCCCCCACCCACTCTTATCTCGTTTCATTAAGTGAAAATCTCATTTCTGTGCTATACACAGTATATAATTATTGAAACTGGTTTCCACTACTGTTGTTCTTCATGGATCTGAATTATGATTGTAAACTTTGCTGATTAGTACCCTGGTAATGGCAGTGACAGCACTAGCTTCTGTCAGAAATTCTGGAAGAAAAGCTCCAGAAAAAAAAGCTTTTGGCTCTAAATATTACCTCAGATTTTCTAGATCAGCTTGACCAAAAAAAAAAAAAAATAATCGAACAATTAAAAAAAGGAGAAATTACAAATGTACACTACACTTTTGTGCCATTTTGGGTACAGAAGAGTTTTTAATAACTAGAACACAAACAAATAGGCTATGCAACTAGCTTTTGTGCATTCCTGAACTGCATTACTTTCACTCATGGAAAATATGACTCAGAAAAGCAACAAAACAAAAGCAAAACAAAAAAACAAACAAAACAAACCAAGGAAGCTAGTGCAAACCCAAAATGATAATCATTAAGCAACACAGCAAAATATTTAATTCATTTCCTCTTTTTTTCTCCTTTTTCCTTTTTTTTTTTTTTTTTTTTTTTGGTGTACAGTGGAATGTGTCTATGCTCAAAATCTCCCTCAAAATAAGTTCACAGAACAGTTAATTACAGTCACTTATAAGTATTTGCACAGACATTCCTAACGACACCGACCGAGACTTACAGAGAATTCTGGTATACATCTGGTGTAATAGCATAAGGAAAAACTAGTTTTTTAAAAAAATAATACATAAGAAAGTTAATTCGCATTGTTGCAAGTGTTGCGAAGTAACAAAAACTGTCAAGTAATTTAAAACAAGTAACAAGTAGTATCCAGAACCAATTACTGACTAGATTTTTTTTAAAAAGAACCCCCCCACCCACCGAAACTGTTAGAACAGAAAGATCACGCTTTGTTTTTTCTGCTTTTTTCTTTTTTTTTAAACAAATCTTTGTGTCAGAAGCCCATTTCTACAAAAACAGCACTATTCCATTATTGTATTAAGTAAACTGTTGCTCTCACCTGTATTAAAGGTTAGCATCATTTCTGTACATGTAAAATTATTGCTTTTTTGAAAAATATATTTAGCATGCTAGGTTTTTTTTTTTTTTAATCCATTTCCTGCCTTTACAAAATGTTACAATTTAAAAAAAAACTAGTAAAGCTTTTGCAAAAAATTTCACAGAACATTTTCTTTCAAGGCAGCAGTAACTTTTGATAATGCATAAAATTATATGTGCAAAATCTGAAACTCTCAGAAATATTACCATCACACATAGTGTCACAGCAATAAGAAAAGAAAATATTTATATCTGTGGAATACATTTTTAATTGCTTACACTGCATGGTTTAACAACCTGTTATGTGCCACAACCCCACCTTGAAAACTTGCAGTTAAAGTTACTGTAGAAGAGGTATATAAAGCTTTTTTTTTCTTCTTTTTTATCCTAACACCACCAGTGATCACCAAGTACAAGACATGACACATTTATATGAACATTAACCTGCCACCACAAAAGAAGTTCCTCGTCTTTCCAAAATGTCACTGGGCCCAAGAAGGAGCAGTAGCTGGCCTGCTG